CCATCTCAAATACATCTCTATATCTAGAAAACCTAACTAACCTAATTATAAGTTCTAACTATCATAGGTGATTATATAACCTGTATTTAATTATGCATATCATTTTAAAAGATCTGTATAAACACAATACCTAAACAAGAGGAGACATATGCATATCACAAAATTGACCTTAAAGTTGTATCAATAAATGAAAATCCTTACCAATGCAAAGTATTCATTCCTATATGCTATTCCCTTTTTTTCTTTAAAAGAGATTGATTGTGATCATTACCATTTATAACCAACCCCATTTAAATGAAAACAAACATTTATAAACAATATTTGGGAATTTGGGTGTTGTTCCTTCTAAACTGCTTCCTGCTGATTGGGGGCGATGTTCATATATCATGATAAAACATAGAAACCTGACCAAGTCCTTGTTTTTGTTGTCTGTAAGGCTGCATCGTCTCAGCTTCAGGGGGTCTTGCTTGATCAAACCATATTAGTCTGGAAGGAATCCACAGCTTTTCATTTTCTGTGGAAACATAAGAAAAAACTTTTTTTTTCCAAGTACCCTGTCCTTAGACTTAAATTTTGAAGTCAAAGCATTTTTAAAATGTATAAGTTGGATTAATTTAGCAGCATTTAGAATCAAATGTATTTTAGCGGCAGTAGGTCTTTCCTCGGCAATCAAACAATTTAAAGACAACAATATGGCACATAGTATCCAGATTCTCTGTGTATTTTTCCATCTTTATGTGGCTTTTTTTTACTCTATTTTTACTTTTTTTTGTTTCGTTTTTCCCGAGACAGGGTTTCTCTGTGGAAATCTGCCTGCCTCTGCTTCCTTCTCTCACAAGCCTACATATATTTTTAAACGCAGGGTAAACCTTTAGAGGTTTTTCTTTCTCTGGATCTGTCCTGGGTGCCGAGTGTAAACCCCAGAAACGCGGGGGACGGCGTGAGCTTATGGAAGCTGCTCTGATGCCTCTCAGTGGCCCGACAGGGCGGGCTGTGGAGGCAGGTTTCCCTCTTTCTCTGGGAACCTTGGTGCATGGGGTCATCCCGCTCACTGACACCAACTAGGTAATGAAAAAGTATCTCAGAAAAATGACTACAGCCCCTCACTCACCCTTCTTCTCTCTAGGAAGACCCCCTGTCACACCCAACCTCTCAGCACATCCAGGCCCTACTGTGTCCTCAGGAGAGAAAGTGACCCTTCTGTGTCAATCCTCAACCCAAGTAGACAGTTTCCTTCTGTTCAAGGAGGGTGCATCTCCTCCCTCTACCTGTCAAATATCAAAGCGCCAAGATCCACAATATGAGGCAGAATTCTCCTTCAGTGCTGTGACCTCGGACTTTGGGGGTACCTATAGGTGCTTTGGTACTCAAAGCTCATCTCCTTACCCAAAGCTCATCTTGTTACCTGTTGTCACACTCCAGTGTCCCTGTGGAGATCATTGTCTCAGGTGAGATGACACTGACAAGTGTGAGATCTGAGGGGAACAGTAGATACTTGACCTTGGAAGCTCTTGACTGTGATGGGGGTGAGTTTGTTCTATGGAGGCGTAGCCAGAAACTGTCTGCTAGTCAATGAAACAGATGCAAAGTGGTATTCCTCAATTAGTGCCCAGTCCAACCTCTTCAGTGAAATTCAGAATGTTTCATGTAGGGATCTGGGAGATTCTGGAGAGGCTTCAGTGTACATGTAAGACTGAGAAGTGTTGAGATAATTAGACCATGTTTCTACCCAACACTCCTTCTCATTATCCTATTACCAACAATTGCCTGTGGCACCAAGGTTCATGCCAATAAATGTGCTATATTTTCCTCTCTAGGGAGCTTGTTCCCTCCCAGGGTGTGAAAAATCTCATCTCCTGTGAGTCTCTGTTTCTGTATCAGCTTGGATGTTCACCAGGATACTGAAATTCAAGCAGTGAGCTCAACATGGTCCCCAGAACCAAAGGGGCTCACATGTTCTGGTCTACTAGAGTCACCCTGACAAAGAGTGATATTTGAGATCTGTCCTAGGAGAAGCACATGAATGAAAGCAGGAAGTAACTTCTCACAATCTCCCTATCCCATCCCCTCTTGCCCTGAAAACTAGTCCGTCACCCCATGAAAACTGACCACAGAGATCTAAACTAGAACACTGACTGGTCCAGAGACTCCATCTAGATATGGGGTAGATGCAGTCTTTTCTGAGAGATTCACATGGACAAGCTCCTCTCCTGTGTGATTCTCAGTTTCTGCAAGTATAAATGCGAGAGCCCTGGACTAGATGTTAAGCTCCTTCCAGTGCTGACCTTATCTTGTCTTTCTCATACAGAGAAATTCTCTAGAAACCACTTCTGCAATTGCCTTGCCACATCTGGCACTGTGGTGGTGACATTGTATAGGGGTATGTGACACAATGAGTTCAGGGCACTCAGGGTCCTTCCTTCTAGTTCATGCAGTGTAGCTCCAGTGTAGGAAATAAGGCTGAATGCTGGACTTCTTGTGTTCAGTCCTCAGCAATGTGCCTTCTGCCTGGGTGACAGGCAAGCAGGTAGACTGTCAGGAGTGATGGGAGTCAGTCTCACGAGGGTACGAGGTAGTGAATACAAACACTCAGTAATCCAAGTCCTCATCCATGATGTGGTCTATATCCCAGGACTGGCAGGATACCAGAAGACTTTGATTGCTGTCTTCGTGGGCATCCTTTTTCTGCTCTGCCTTCTTGCCCTCTTTCTACTGCTCAGACTCAGGCACCAGAACAAATGCAGGAATGGAGGTGAGTAGGCTGTGGGTGGTCTCAGTCTTAGCCGGTAGTGGGTGCCCCTTGTCGGCTACCCAAGTAGGGACTCAGTGCACCAACCTGGATACCTCAGCTTAGAAACACATCTGTGATACACAAATCATCAATATAATCTTGAAACCTTGGGTATCATATGACCTATTCTTTCTCCTGGAACATTTGTACACATACATACACAATCAAAATGAGTTGCAAAGTTCCTTCTTTCCTTCACGTTGCTCAGTAAGGATGTATCACCCTCATGACTCCTCTCTTTCTTGCAGACCAGACAAAGACCAACTTGCAACACCCTGCAGGAGCTGCAGAGTCAGTAACCACAGACAGGAGCATCCAGAAGAGGTAACTCCATGCCAGCAACTTAGACCCCCACACGCCTGACTCCTCTCACTGCCATTTGACATCCTCTTTTCTCCCCAGCTCTAGCCCAGCTCCTGCTATCCAGGAAGAAATCTTCTGTAAGACAAAGAGGGCCCCTGGGAGGGAGTTATCCAAGGTCTTAGCATCAGAGGGGAGGTGGAGGGTCTGGGTCACTTCTCTGAGGCACCAAGTCACTATGGACACATTTTCTGCCTTTATTATGGACCCTTCTCCTGTGCTCCATTTTCTCTGTTGCTGTCTGAGAGAGGACAGGCAACTGGGCAAATGAGAAGTCCCAGGGATGTGGTCAGGAGAAGACCTACCTGTATGTCCTCTTACAACAGACACTACTGTGAAAAGCACGCAGATTAAGGACAGCATGGAACTGGACATTATGGTGAGACTCTTTTTCACAATGCTATGAACTCATGACCCAGTTTGCCCTGGGATCAATCACTGTCCCCCTTTTCAGCCCTTGGCATCATCCACAGCTGGCTTCTTAATTGTGGATGCACCTGTCTTTTGTGTGCTATGAGCTCAGCCCTGCTTTGTTTACTTTTGGCCACATGAGCTCTATTTTCTGACCCCTCTGCTGCTTGTCACCTTTTCCCACTTCCTGGATGTCACTCTTGGCCATGTTTCCTGTGGAGATGGCAGATACAGCAGAAAACAGAATTACCCCATGCACTGCCACAAACCTTGGGGTGGAATATGATGAAGACCAGACATACAGTGAGCCTTGCAAAGTGTTTGAGGGAAATGAATTAGAGAAAATTAGTTGCGGTTGTATGGGGCACAGACCATCAATGTGAATTTAAAGGGGGGCTGAAAAGAGCCTTCTGAAGAGAAGTCTGTGTGAGAGGATTCTGTAAATATGTGGTTAGCTGGCACATCTAGGCAGCACATGACAGGTACGGTTGTTACATGAGAATGAACATTCTCTTTCCAAAAAATGGAGCCCTTAGAGATAGGTCACCTTGTAAAGATAATACATCAGAAGTTCAGGAAGGAACTTCCAGGCACTCAGAGTTCTTAGGAAGCTCCACAAGACGCCATCACCAATAGCAAGGTTTGAATTAGATGTCTAAAGTATTACTCTCCCACCCTGTGGAAACCTGAGTGGGAATAGAGCCTCTGGGGTATCCGGATACACTCCCTGTGATTTGTTTTCTCTTTTCTGCAGAGCCAACATGAGGAAGATCACCCCAAAGACTTGTATGCCCAGGTGAAGCCCTCCAGACTCAGAAGGGCAGAGCCCAACTCTCCTCGCCTCATGCCAAAGGAATTACCGGACTCAAAGGAGAGACAGGCAAAAGAAGACCAAGAGAGAGGCCATCAGGTGGGTTCTGATCTCTGCAGTTCCCCAGGATCACGGTGCTGAACACAGACCTTATTCTAACCTTTCCTACTCCAGGCGGCTGCATCCAAGGAGTCCCATGAAGTGATCTATTCCCAGCTGACCATCATGACTCCAAGAGAGAGGCAACTGAACCTCACATCTCTCAAGCAGAAAAGTCCCACTTGAGACACTACTCTAGTGTTTACCTGTTCACGGAGAGCCAGACTCTATATTCTATAAGGGATGGAAGACTCAGGGATATCAGAAAATAGAAATGCCACATGCGGGCAGCCATTTTGCAGTTATAACACGGAGATTCTGTCAATTTTGGGGAGCCCCCCCAATTCTATACTCGGAGATAAGTAATATTCCTGCATTTTATAAATAAGGCAAATGCCTTGTCAGTACACAATGGATAAAATGAACAAAAATGGGAACAAAGGAAGTCTCTATTTTTGTGCTTTTCTTTGTTTCCTATTTTTTTATTTTTGAGATTATAATTACAGCATTTCTTCCTTTCCCTTCATCCATCCAAACATTCACACAGACCGCTACACACTCTCTTCCAAATTCATGACCTCTTTTTTCATTAATTGCTATTGCATGTACATGTGAATATGTATATACAAGGTTTGAAAATTTTTCTTCTGAATATATACCTTTTGTCAATTATATCTCAATAAAGCTAGAAATTGAATGATAAAATATCCATAGCATATTGTACTATGAAACTTGAAAATTCAGAGGGAGTCTGAATCAGTAGGAATAAGGGTCCCAAACAATGCCCAAGAAGACCATGGATAAGGAACAAAGATGATGAAAGCAATAGTTGAATCAGAAGGTCTTGCAAAAGTCAATGTCTTACACTAAGCAAATTTATTAGAAAGCACACTATCTTATATTCTATTTTCAGTAGGGAAATGCCTAAGATTAGCAGAGAGACAAGTCAGACATGTTTGAAAAGATAACTTAGGAAATCTCAAATGCCTTAGGATGATAGCTATTGCCTAGGAGGTAGATTCCTCAGAAGTTGCAACCTCAACTCCTGACAAACATTGGCCCAAGAGTCAGACTGACGTACAAGTCTGATCTTGGAGAAGAACACAGAAGTAAAGTTACCATTGTCCTTCCATCAGGGCATTTAAAAAGTCTTGAGTCTTTATAACTCCCTGTACAGAAACATTATTTCTAAACTCATGACCTCATCATCAGATTTGAGAAGATGCAAAGAGAGTAACAACATATCTCAAATTAGAAATAAGGATATAAATGATACACAAATAAGTTACAAGTTAAAAAATACAGGCTGGTAAGTCCAGCAATTACAAGGCTGAGGCAGGGGAAAATATATTTCATACCTTTCTGGGCTACACGGTGAATGTAATGCCAGTCTGAGAGATAAAAATGCATGCTGATATTGATTCTTGTGCTATAGATAGATCCTCCTGCAGTCCTGTTGTAAATTTATTTGTAAAAATAAATTCAGTTCTAGGATACTATGTAAAGGCATGAAGAAAACAAAGAATTCCTGGAATTCAATAAAAACATGTGCCTTCATAAAGAAATTGCAGCGATCTCACACTACTAACTGAAAGGTGTACCTGAAAGGTCTAGAACAGAAAAAAAGCAAACACATCTGAGGATTAGAAGGCAAAAAAATAATCAAACTCGGGGACAAAACAAATAAAATAGAAACAAAGAGAATAATACAAAGTATCGATGGAAAAAAAGTTTGTTCATAAGATGGAAAGATCGTCCATGCTCTTGGATCTGTAGAATTAGCCTAGCAAAGGCAGCCATTCTACCAAAAGCCATGTACAGATTCAACACAATCTTCACCAAAATTTTAATGCAATTCATTACAGATCTTGAAAGAACAATACTCAACTTATATATAGAAAAACAAAAAACTCAGGAAAGCTAAAATAATCCCTCAAAATAAAAGAACTTCTAAAAGGGATCACCATCCATGATCTCACGCAGGAATTACAAAAAAAAAAAAAAAAAAAAAAAAAAAAATTTCTTACATGGTGTTGGCATAAAAATAGGCACATTGATCAATGGAATCAAACTGAAGACCCAGTGGTAAATCCACACACTTAGAGACAAATGATTTTTCAATAAAGAAGCAAGAAATATACAATTGAAGAAGACAGCATTGTCAACAATTGTTGCTGGTCTAATTGGATGTTGGCATGTGGAAGAAGGCAAATCGATCCATACCTTTACCCTGCATGAAATTTAAGTGCAAATGAATCAAAGACCTTAACACAAATCCAGAAGCATTGAACATGATGAAAGAGAAAGTGGGGCATATCCTTAGACACATTGGCGCAGGAGACCTCACCCTGAACAGAACACCAATTTTGCAAGCACTAAGACTGACAATTAACAAATTAGACCACAACTTAAAAGCTTCTGCAAGGCAAAGACACTGTCAATAGGACATAGAGACAGCCCACAGAATGGCAAAAGATTTTTTACCAACTCCATATCTGTCAGAGAGCTAATATTCAAAATATATAAAGAACTCAAGAAACTAGATATCAGCCAACCAAATAATCCAATTACAAACAGTGGAATCTCAAATGACTAAGAAACACTTAGAAATGTTCAACATCCAGGATGGAAAAATAACAGGAACTTGCATTCAGGCCTTATCAGGAGGGAAACAAGAAGTACTTGCTAGATAAGCTCCCAGTCACGAGCTGGTCAGCAGATCCCTGCAAAGGGAAGGGCCCAACATTTGCCTTTACAAGACCTTCTCTCATCACCCCCTAAACAAGGCAATCTCAAGTTTCACCAGAGATTATTGCCCTGAGAGTAGTAATCAATAAAATTTTAATTATAATTGGATTATATCTATGCTCTTATTCCAGGGTTTTGGAATTCCATAACCCAGCAAGGTCCTTGGAATAGAGCAGACTCAGGGACATGGGTCCTGGGTGGGCCCTGATTTACTTGGAAGTCTGGGGAGCCTGAGACCATGTCTGACATGAATTGAATGTTGTTAGGAGGGGTTAGGCCTCAGAAAGAGGGCCCAGGGAGTGCTGACTGCAAAACAAAAGTAAGAATTTCTGGCCAATGTACTTCTGAAGCTCGGAAGAATTGGTGAGTTGTTTGTTCTGCTTTGAAGTCTGCACTTTTGGAGAGACAAAGGTGAGATCAGATGAGTAGGGACAGTGCCTAGGGCAGAGGGGCTTACTGTCCTTTGGTTTTGGGGTATGAATGAAGGTGGCCACCACTTGTCTTAGTTTATCTGGTCTTCCAAGATGGCATTGTTCTAAGGTTTTTGCTGTTTTTTTTTCTGTTGTCTGATGGGGGATGTCTTTCTGTATGCTGTGAATATATGTTTCTCTTTTGGTGGGTGGGTAAGTGCTGATTGACCAGTATCCAGGCAGGAAGCATAAGCAGGGCTACCAGAATAGGAATGCTCGGAAGAGGAACATAGAGAGGGAGTTGAGAAGGTGATTCCATGTAATTATCAAAGGAGTAACATGCTGGAGCATTATGGGTAAGCCATAGCCTCGTGGTAATACACAGTTTACTAGAAATGGTTTAATAATTAAGAAAGAGCTAGCCAATAAGAAGCCTGAGCCATTGACCAAACAGTTTATAATTAATATAAGCCTCTGTGTGTTTGTTTGGGACTAAATGACTCTGGGACTAGGCTGGACAAATGGCACCCCAAATACTTGGCAAGAATTTCCAGAGTAAAACCTGACAAAAGCTGAAAATGTGACTCTAAAAACATAAGAACAAAGTCAAGCGTGGCTTCTTGGTAGCAGCATGGGCTTGGTTTCCTAGAGGCAAGCAGAGGCATGGCTCTTTAAAGAGAGGCTTCCTGACACAGTGCTAGTGGCAAAACTGCAAGGCTCTGTTAAGAGGCCCTGCCAGTAAACAATTAAATGTTTTTAGGATGAACCAGTGGCTTGCTTCTTCATGATAGCATGGACCTAGAAACTCTACAGAGATGTGGCAATAAGCGTGGCTCCCACCAGTACTCCACCAGGAAGTTACTCTAAGGAAGCCAAGGAATAGTGTGGGGCCAGCTGCTGCTTTAATTTTAGCCACACTGTTTAGCCAATTAAAGACTCTTGGTCAGAAAAACATAGAGATACACAGTAAAGACTGATTCAGAGAAAGAAAAACCTCTAAATGGTTTATAGTGTGTTTAAAAATATACGTAGGCCTGGGAGAGAAAAAAAAGGATGAAGTCCTTAAAAAAGAAACAGTAGCTGGGTGTGGTAGCACATGCCATTAATTCTAGCAGTCTGAAGGAGGCAGGTCTCTGTGATTTCAAGGCCAGCCTGGTTTACAGAGTGAATTACAGGACAGCCAAAGATACACAGAGGAACCCTGTCTCAAAAAACCAAAGAAATCAAAATAAAAGAAATAGAGTAATTAAAAAGCCACATAAATATGTAAAATACACAGAGATTCTGGATACTGTATGCTATTGTGTTGTCTTTGAATTGGCTGATTGCTGAGGAAGAAGCAACAGCTGATCACAGATATTTGGTTTTAAATGTTGCTGGGTTAATCCCACCTATATATTTTGAAAACACATTCACTTCAAAATTTAAGTCTAAGGACATGTTACTTTGGAAAAGAGGTTCTGCTTTTGTTTCCATAGAAGATGAAAAGCTGTGGATTCCTTCCAGACTAATATAGTTTGATCAAACAAGACCCCCTGAAGCAGTGGCCCAGGTGATCCAATATCCAAGACAGCTGGCATGATGCAGTCTCACAGACTCTACAGCCAGGATTTGGCCATGGTTCTGGGTTTTCTCAGGATCCCCTTGTAATTGACAGTACCGCCAAACAGCAGGAAGCAGTGTGGAGAAAACTATGCCCACACTCCCAAATATTTTATAAGTGTTTGTTTTCATTTAAATGGGGATGTCTGTAAATGTTTAATGATCACAGCCAATCTCTTTCTAAAGAAAAACCGGAGTATGATATAGAAATGAATACATTGCATTGGTATGGATTTTGATTTATTGATACAAATTAAAGGTCAACTTTGTTATGTGTATATTTCTACTCTTGTTTAGGTATTGTGTTTAAACAACTCTTTTAAATGTAATGTAAAATTAAATAGAGATTATAGTCACCTATTGTTATAGAAACGGATACTTTACATTGATATAAGTTTTGGTTTATTGATAAAAATTTAAGGTCAA